GTAAACTGTTGAGTTAAGTAACACACCCTCGCCTGTGTTTACTGAGACCTGTCCATGGTATAACAAGAGGTAATTCTGTTCACTGGCAATAAAAAATGTGAACCTGATGATGAAGACTCATCAGACTACATCAGGGCACCTTGTTGTATTACTGCTTATCTAACCAGCACATTGTAAACGTAAACAGCACATATTCTCAGTAACAACATGCTTAAAGTTTCCTTGCTATATGCTGACTAGTGTTGCATCAGAGTGGCTGGATTTGATTAATTTGGTTTAGGCCAAATCAAATCCTCCTCCCACAGAAAATTGCAAACAAAAAAGCAACAAACGATGGAGTGATAATGCTAATGGTTGATACCCATGCTGTACAGTGAGTAATGGACACTTATGGTAAATGGACTTCACTTATATAGGGCTTTTCTAATCTTGTCAACCACCCAAAGCACTTTACACTACATGCATACAGTGTTTTTATTATGCATTCTGCACTTCTTTCTATCACACTCACACAGTTTGGGTTCAGCATCATGTCCGATCACCTTGTGTTCATGATGCTGAGCCACACTTGGACGCTCCTTATCAATGCAATATACTCACCGAAATAATAATGTTAATGGCTAAAATATCTCATCATGATATATAAAATATTGGTATTGGATTTTATGGAATTTCAAATAGCACAATTTTTGGATATATAGTGCTCATTTGTGTACAGTATAGTCTGTCATCTTGATCACTGCATGCTTGAACAGATGTTGGATCAGCTCTAGTCCTCCTCATGTAATGCAGTGCAGTGTGTTGAGTGGAGCAAGAGTATTTGAGTAGATCTCTTAATGTGACATGCATATAGGAGCAGTAATTAGCAGGCTCACTAGCTGTAATTAGTGGGTTTAAAGGGAGGAAAGCTATCGCTAGCTGTCCTTTTGATGTGTGTGGGAGATGTTATGCAAACGAGGTGGCTTTTGTTCTGTGTGTCTGTGTGTGTGTGTGTGTGTGTGTGTGTGTGTATATGTATATATTTATAAGAAGGCCACATGTGAAGATGGAGCAGCATTTTGATTTCATGAGATGTCTACCTGTCAGTGAAGGTTAAATCAACAATGAACCCGTGGAAATATATGAATGTAACATGTCTTTCAGTGACTGTGTGTGTTGTCTTTTATACAACGAGAGATGCAGATGGGGCTCAGGGAATGAGAGGTAACAGTGCTAATTATGCTTTCTCTGTTCCTCCACACCACAGTGTGACATATCACATATACAGTGGAATCTAATAACAGTTGTTCTGTGAAAAGCACGAAATCAGAGTCTATTCATGCACAAGACTCCTCAGCTCGCATGATGTAATCTGCTGAGGGCCATCTTTGTTTGAGACGTTGCCAGTCAAGCTCACTGTATGAATAAATGAATGAACTCTTAGGAGCATCACAGCAGTATGTACATATTCATTGCTCTTTTCTAGGGTTCACAGTCATGACTAAGCATGACTAAGCATCTGCATGTGTGTATATATATATATATATACACACATGCAGATGCTTAGTCATGATGATGAAAAGATTATTGTGTGTGTGTGTGTGTGTATATATATATATATATATCCACTGTTCAATTTCAGTCAAAAATCTGAAGTAAAGAGTTCCAAATAATGTCACTATGATATATAAATATCTCGCAATTATATAGAACGAGATTATAAAGAATTAAAATGCCATTAATCTGAGGAGCCGATTTACAAAAACTTAACCATCAACTTTGATTATTGTTAAGGTCACTGATCAAACAAATACAGCTTAAACTTTCAGGTTCCAGCGTCTTCAATTTGAGAATTTGCAGCTTTTCTCTGTTTTTATACAATTTCTGATAGAATTATTTAAGACTTTTAGGTTTTAGATGGAAAAAAAACAGGAAATTTGAAGATATCATGTTTTCTCCAGTTAAGCTTTATTAACTAAATAATGAATCAACCAGCAAGAATAAAATAAATGGATAGTAGAGTGGATATGATCAGTTGATTGAGGATATAAATCTGCACCTATTTTGATAATCATTTTAATTGTAAATCTTTTTTTCTTTTAATGAAAATTCAGCAGCTTGAGTTTTGGTTCCACATGAAATGCTCTGCTGGTTTCCTCAGTCTTATACTATAACAAGCTGAATGACTTTGGGTATTGAACTATGTGTTGGACAAAAAAAAGACATTTGAAGACATCCACTTGGACTTAGAGAAACATTCATTCATTTCTGTTTTCTGACATTTTTTAGACCAAACTATTAATTGATCACTTGAGATGATAATCTGCTGATTAATCAATAGTGAACACTGTTGCAACATCGCTAATACTGTCATTATTTATTCCGGATTTTAAGGGCTAAGCAATGCAGCATCCTGTAGACCGCTGTCTGAGCTTTTCTTGATGTCGACAGCCTCCACTTAACGTTATCTTATGGTGTCCTTTTTTTTTTAATGTTAGTTGTAATATATTGGAGCTTTTCATGGTGTAGGTATCAAAGACTCATTTATATTTCATACAACCCCACTTAAGCTTGTCTTGCTGTTACTGTTGTATGTGCAGCGGCTGTGAGACAGTCGGGGCGGTGCAGCAGTACTGAACACCAGATTTTCCAGGCTGGTTTCCTGCTTGACTGACTTACTAAATGGCTTGCTCGGTGATTGACCAGTCCACTGGCTTCCGCTACCAACTTTGGTTTCCGCGGCAACTGGTCACACTCGGTGATTCGTTGGCCTGCTGGCTAACTGCCTTCTATGGTCATTTGTACCCACCTTTCAAATTATCACAGTTAATTGTTGTTATTCTTAGTGAGTGTCTGCCCTGGATTGAGCTTAGTATCAGTGAGTCAGCAGCAGTTACACAAGTAACTGTGTCACTGGTAGTTTTAGTTTCACACAGACACACACATGCAAACTAGTACACACATCCATATATGCTTGCAATAGGAGAGAGAGAGAGGGTGTATTGTACAGTAATATGATCCCCTGGGAGAGAGTGTGCAGCCTGTGAATCAGCGTCACTATCACTTTGCTGAATGCATGTGTATGTGGTGTAGTATATTCATGTGTACCAAGCTGGTATTTTGGTGCATGTGGCAAGCAGTCAACCCATATATGCTATAGGTTACAGCATAGCACCACATTGAAGTGTGTGTGGACAAATTTTCCATCTGAAGGTGGAGGATAAAGGGTTTTAGTGTGTCTAATCCAGAGGCAGGTTTTAGAAAGCTCTGGGACAATGCTATATAACCTGGATTAGCAGGACAGACACAAGCAGAGCTGGAGGAGGAGCCACATCTTAGACTGAAATGAGAAACTAGTGTTCACACTGCTATCGAGCCTCCAGCCAACACCATATTAAAATGAGATGAAACTTCAGCCAGTCCTGCTGGGGACTCGGGTGGTTTCAGCAGCAGATAATGGGACTCAGCAGAGGAAAATGTTCCCATTCACAGGGAACTGAGTGATGTTTGGGTTTTGTTTTTAGCAAGGATGAGTGAATCAACCAGCCACTGGTCATAATCAGCTGCCAGACATTTTGAATATGTCATTTTCCACCTGATGTACAGAATAACATCATTAAGTAAACACTAGTCCTCTGAATGATAAAATCTCTGCAGCTGTAGGACTAACCTGTGTCTTAACAAAGAGGCGGAGTCTCTCTTCTGATTGGCCCGCTGACCTGTTGTTGTTAGAGCTCCAGAGAGAAGCCTGAGAGAGGAGATGTAAAACTACACTGACATGTTTTTTGGTTCTTAAAACCACAAATATATCTTCTTATGGATCAACACTTCAAATGAAACACAGGAGAAGTGAAAATATGGAACTTTTAAGAAAAAAAACCAAATAACACCCACATTATTGTTGGGTATAAGAAACTATCGAATTAATACATATGTATGAGGCGATTTAATAGGGTGACATGTTAATGCAAGCAATAAGTCAACAAATGTTCTTATTGCTCAAAGGGGCCTGTTGAACATGTCACTTCATGTGCACTGCGTGTTGTTTTCGAACATGTTTACAAAAGTTCTACTTGTGTTATTTAATTATGTTACTTATTGATTTCAGCTTGGTCCAAACACACCGCTCATTAATTTCAGAGCCCCAGGCTTAAGCCTCTCCCATTGTGATTGGATTTGAGGCTTTTTAGCAGGGTCTGATCAAGTAGTGAGAAAACGTAATTTCACATCTTGGAGAGAGGTATTGAACAGAGGGTGTCTGCTCAGTCCACTCCAATTCTCTGTTTTCATTTGCAGCTGCTTTGTAAGATGTGAGAACTGCAGCATTAAACCCACGGATGATACAACAGTATCAAGTCCTGACAACAACCCTGATTTAAATGCCATTAAGTTGAGATGTCTCTGATTATTTGGGGGCAGCATGTCCACCTCAGATGGTCACAAACTCTGTGCAGCCAAAGCAACATGAATCAGCAGCAAGACATTTTCCATCAGTACAAGTGTTATGTAACCACAAAGATCAGTTTTAACAGATCCACTGCTGAGGAGAGTTTTTTTTCTTGAATTATAGATGTAAGTTTTAGATCATGTGACAGCCACTGGGGAAGAAAGCATACATGATACTCAGATAATGCTGCTGTCATTCACTGTCTTTGATTGTTTTACCAAAGGAGGTTTATTGAGAGAAATTACATGGGAAATTACATGAGAAAACAAATGACAGATTAATCAATAAAAATTATTGTCAGTTGCTGCTCTGGAAGTGTCCCACTCAGTGTGTACCTTTGTTCTTATGAAATGTCTGCTTATATAAAGCTTTTATTTTAACAATGTTTATTAAAAGTCTGAATTATTAATATTAGCCTCAAAATTCCTGCATCACTCGAGCCACGGCATAGTGATGACTTGAAAATGAATCGAATCTTTCTTGTTACAGCTCGAAGTTGATTGTCCCCTTTAACTCTCTTCATTTCCCATCTTCTCCTCCTTCTACCCCTCCTTCCCCTCTTCCTCCCTCTTAGATGATGAAGCATGCGTGGGACAGCTACAGGCGCTACGCCTGGGGTTCCAATGAGCTCAGGCCCGTCTCTAAGCAAGGCCACTCCAGCAATCTATTTGGTGAGTGAGAGCCCATGCACACACACACACACACACACACACACACACACACACACACACACACACACATACAAACACACACAAACGATTGATCTCTTGTCCCTGCCACAAGCAGCCTTGGCCTTTAGATTAGCAGCCAAATTGGCCGTCAGTTAGACTCATCCATCTATGGATGCCTCTAAATGTCAGCTTTATCATATATTTATATTCTGTTTGTGCTACTTGCCAGTTGTTGGTGTCTGTGCTGTTAATGAGTGCGGTGACGTGGGGCGTCTCACTGTCTCCTCCTTTGTCTCTGTTTCACACTTTGGTAACTCTTTTCTGAAAACCTTAATTCTCTGTCTGCCTTTCATGCTGTTGGAAGACTGCAGGGCCCCGTTAATAAATATTAAGTACTCATGTGCTCAAACACGCTTTGTTTATGACAGTGGTCTCCCAGCTATTACTGCCACCAGCAAGTCCTTTCTTATCCACACACACACACACACACACACACACACTGCATGTTGTCCCATTGTGTTTCATTGGCTGATATTGTTGCTTTAAAAGCTGAACTCAGAGAAAGTAAACATGAAGCTAAAAAGCAAATGATCACACATATCTGCTACGACAGCACATGTGCCAATGGCAGGGGATTAATACAACTCATTAAAGCTGTAATACCACAATCATATTTGATCTGCAGTGTGCAGAGGTAAAGGGGCAGGAAAGCATGGAGGTGAAGCCGCTCATGGTTTGACTGCTTAATATTTAAAAAGATGTCCTGAGAGTGACTTTTTTTTAAAGTTAGCTTTCAGGACCTTTCACTCCTGAATGTGCAGAAGCAGAGGAAGCAATCTCATAAACGACAAATTAATAAAGTAATGTTTAATCTTCACTCAGGCTGTGTTAGAGGGATGTACACGTTGTATCAGCAGGTGTTTTTTTTATGTCTACTCTTCAGCGTTTGTACACATATGAATACTTATTTATTCTGACTGATTGAATTAATAAGAGAGGGAATTGGATTTTTAATTTGTTCAGATCTCTTTCTTTCTCCTTTTGACCTAATTAAATTCTCGGTAAGAATATTTGTTCACATACCTACAGCTCCTGATGAGTGCTCTGTGTGTGTGTGTGTGCGCCTGCGTGTGTGTGTGTGTGTGCATGCATGTGTTGGTGTTTATCAGTGGGTGGTGTATGTGACAGTTTACTGTAGTGCTGAACAGATACAATAGCATTCGTCTGTGAAAGGGGCGACTGTGCCTCCACTGCTGATAAGATGACTCTCTCTTGACACTAAAGTAAAACTCACTCACGTACTTGGTCTGGGTTGAAGTTTTTTTCTCAGCGTTTCTTGTTGTTTCTTTCGCTGCCCTCCTGTGTAAAGGTGCAGGTCTGTGTCAGTGAAGACAGCAGAAGAGAAAGCATTCATATTTTATTTTATTTTTTTCCCCTCCTCTGTAACAACAACATTTTTCCAAGATGATAATTTCAAGTCAAGTTAAAAAAAAAAAAGAAAAAAAAAAGAATGAATCTGACATGAATGTGTCAGAAGAGGGAAACAGAGGGAAATAGAAAAATGGAAATGGTATTTAAAGTGGTTGGTTGATTAGTTTTGGCTCTGGGGGCAGCCACAAAATGCTGTAAACACAACCTTGACACACTGTCATCCAATAACATTGTTATAGCTGACATGTCAGTAAACAGTTGCTGGTTTACACATCCAGCAGACACTTGTTTCACATTGTGATGAGGTATTCACTCCTCTTTTAGCTCTGCTTTGCCTGACTAGCTAAATGCTCCAGTATGTACACCAGCTAATGGCTACATATCCTGGGTATCTACATAGGATGCCTATAGATTATACAGGGTTTTTCCTGCCCAAAAAAAGTAGGCGGGCGTGGTACTGACCATATGACCGGGGGGGGGGGGCAATATTATTTTTTTCTTTTTCATAATCTCTCCAGCTGCTGCGGGTCAGAGCCACTCACTCTATGCTTTTGAGAACATCTGGGAAGATGAATAAAATGTGATGTTAAAATCATGTAAACGTCGGCTTTAATACACTCATTAACACACTCCTACAGACTTGGTACTCTCGCCTTGACTCCTCTCTGGCGCTCTGATCCTCTCCTCCAGCGGCACCTTCCACTTGTGGCTGAGAACCAGGCCTACTGTCAGTCCTGACACATTAACTGCATCTCATCAGTAACATCTATTACATTTTTTTCCCCATATTAGAAGAACTAATGATGTCTGCACTCTGCACTGTTTCACCTTTCCACGTGATTCTCCTCCTCCCGAACTCTTTTTAAAATAATCTGTGATTTGAGACATTTCTGCAAAAAAAAAAACATTGCCGTAGAGGCGTACAGCCGCAATTGCAGTTGCAAACGTCAAATCCACCGAGTACCAAGAAAACAAGTAGGTCTACTAGAATTTTGTTGGGAGGCGGCACGAAATTTGACGGAGGCGGCCGCCCTTGCAATTCTCTTTGCAGGAAAAACCCTGTAATATCACAATGTCGCAATACAAAATATATATCTCAATATTTTGAAATCTCTAGAGCACTTCATAAATGCACGATTTAACACTTTGATGCATAAAATCACACCAGTATAATCATTATAGTCCCTGCAACATTTGTCTGCATTAAAATATTCTTGTTTGACTGGTTTCTATTGGAACAATTTTGAGCTGTGTTTTGTTTAAAGGTCAAATTGAACTTGGTTGTAATTTTCCCCAGATTCAAAGTAGGGTTGTGTGAAGAAACGAAACAGCAAAGCAAATTTCCTTTGCATTCCGTGACGATTTGAATTCAAAGATCACCATATAGTCATTTACTACATCCCATGTGGAACAAGCTGTGATCCATTGAGCATATTTGATGTATCGTGCGTATAGAGCCAAATGCACAATCACTAAAACGTAAAACACAGGAAACTGACTTGCAGCATCTAAACAGAAAACATTTCAGCCGTGTTTTTCAGTTGTCAGTCTCGTGCACATCTGACAGAACAAATATTCTCGTAACAGCTCGTGTTCTACTTCAGAGATTGGCCTGTAAAAGCGACCCAAAGTGTTTTCTTACGCTTCTGGTCTATTGCCCTGTTTTTTCTGCCTGTATATACAGTGATGGTGCACTGGGCTCTGAAAATGTGGGTGACCTACATCTCAATACTGCGTAGACACACAGAGAGGACTGAAGCTGCTGCTGCTGCTGTAGATGTGCTGTAACTTTTTGTGTTTGGTGCTGTACTGGACAGGTAGCATACAGTGGGATTTTACAGTCTTTTCAAAATAAAGCTCTCGGCTGGCAGAAACAACATGAAGACTGGTGAAAGTGGATTTTAAGTCGTGGGCCGCACAGCAAAAACAAGGATCTGAGAGTTGCTAAAATGCTCTGTAGAGCTGCGGGGAACAGCAGAGTCAAGTGATGTGAAACCCCTCAGTAGTCATGTGATCCATTGTTCATATAGAAATATTGATTAGTCCAGCTTTAAAAAACTAATTATTATTATTATTATTATTATTATTATTATTATTTTAAATATTTATTTAAAATCAAAGGGATGCACTATATATACTGTATATAATATTCTAATTCACAATTTAATGCCTTGACTGACTCACTGCCAATGACATTAAACATGTTACTGACACCAAGAACACTACATTTGTCTACTTGTCCTTCACTAGGTATTAATTTAAAGTGTCTCTTTAAATACTTTTAGCTAACATTCTGTGATTAAGTAGCTGAAGTTGACGCCCCAGGTGTGTGATCGACTGTGGTTATAAGTAATAGTTTTCTTATGTGTAGGTGTGTACTTTGATTCTGTGTGTAACTAATGGAAGCTTTGACTGAGTTTTCTGTCTTTTTGATTGTAGCAGCCTCACATTAGACCTTAATGAAGTTTTACCCTGGAATCTTCACTGCATTAAAAGGCAAAGAGCCGAATTCATAATGTTGAGTTATTCTCTAACATCATATCTCAGAAGCCTTTCTATATCTTACATCATTGTTAGAGCAGAGTTTGCATTATTTGTGTGGAGGCACATTCGTTGTTGATTTTGAGATTCTGCTCATGTTTCGCTATCGAATTATAAAAGTGACAGGATGACAGCACTTTGAGCATCCGTATGCAGGATGCTATGAAGAAAGTCTGAAACTACAGACTTGGTTTGAGGCTGTTTTGCACAATTTAGGCAGAGAGGTGATTCTTCTGATGTTTAGCTGCCCTGTTGTCTGTCAATACTGAGGTCTCTTTGAGAGACTTTCTCAAGTTTAACTTGTTAAAAATTGATTCCCAGGCTGCTCTTGTATGGTAAACACTGAAAACAATTTTATGAGATGGGAAGATGTTGGTGTCAATCTGCAATCTTTGTGTTGGAAATTAAAATCTGATTTAATTTTGTATCGTGTGGAAAGAAAATAATGGAATATGTCAAATGTACACAAAGGCCCTGACAGTTTTGAGATGACATTTTCATACAAGTTCCTTCATTGAAATACATAACTTCAGTCTTTGCCCTGGAAACCTCCTGGGAAAAAATGCTGAAACCCCTTCTAGGTCTATTTCATTATACAGTGTGGAAGATTTACAGGCTCATTTTTAATGATTGCCTTCTTATGTTTAATGGGGAAATTCAATCAGCTTTGTGTAAATTCCATCCACTGTTTCATTACCGGAATTTATCATACGTAAATGTAGGAAGGGAGCGGAAAGCAGCTGTGTGAATACTAATTGTGAGATTAGCCTGTTCAACTCCGTGTGTTAGTGTTTCTCTCTGTTTCCTTTGCTCTATCCATCCCTCATGTCTGTGCTATAGAAAGTAAATAGGTTTTAGTTGACTGCTCCAGCAGACCCACTTCCATCAGTAAATAAGACAGCGTGGCCCCGGGGGCCTTGTCACAGCCCTCTCCAACTCCTATAGAACATGATGTATGACGATAATATCAACCTGACGTGGAATATTATGCAACAAAGCCACTTTCCATACCTGGAGGCTATTTCCCT